CTTGAAAAACTGCTTATTAAGATACCTTAATTGTATCATAATTACTACAAATTGCGGTAATGTAGGCCACACCACAATCACAATATTATGCCATTTAACTATAATAGTCTTTACAAAAAGTTCTCACTCTTTTCTTCTTAACATACGAAAAACTCTGACATCGTTATCAAGATAGACATAAATACTCAATTAATATAGTGTCCTATGCGTCCCCTGTTGTCGTAAAAAAAAAAAAAAAGCTTTTGTTGTTCAACTTGAATTCTGTTTTTAGGTTTTGGCAGTGAGAAGAGTGTTTCTTAATTTATACGTTTTCTGAACCTATTCTAAACTCATCACCGGTGGCGATGCAGTAATGTTAGGAGGTGGGATAGTCAGTGGTGCATAGTAAACATATATTAAAACAGCGCAAACGAACACAAGGGCAATTAGAAGAAGGAACATAGACACAGCGCTGTGTCTGTGTCCCTTCTTCTACTTGTCCTTGTGTTCGTTAGCGCTGTTTTAATTATATGTTTACCCATGGCGATATCTGATAAAATCTAGATTGATTCTTTTATTCTTGTGCTTAGAATAAATGCTAAAGCAATTAATCATCTAAATGCCCAAGAACCGATCAAAGGGCCCGCAGTTCATTACTTTAGATGATAATCACCTGAGTCATGAAAAGCAGCAACACAGAAATATCAGCGCTGATTTGTTTCAACAAATACAACATTCTGATACCTCTAAGCTGTTTGTTTTACCCTCTCTATAAAAGGACACGGAACTCTGCAAAATATTTTGAAGTGTCTGGATCGGACACGTATGTCACAAAGTAAAGTTTCCGCAAAACATTTCTTTAGCTTAATAATTACGCTGTTAGACACATCTTGCATTTCAAGAAAAACCGAAACTAGAAATTAACACCTATATCGAGAACTCCAAAGTAGAAGTTAGCTTCGGTTTTTTTTTTCCCGAATTAAAACGAGTCTCCTGGCGTAAGTATTACGCTGAACACCTTTTTTGTTTCCAGGGTAAAGAGGTGACCTGCGGGCCCAACACCCTAGTTTCCTCGTATAAGCGGGGATAATTTGCGTTACTCAGTGAAGCCAGCACTTTAGACAGGCGCAGCAACTGGTATACCAGCAGGCATCTCGGACCCTCACTATAACCGCCATTTTGGAAAACGAGTGGCGCCACCTACTGACAGATGAAATCGTGGATAGCTCGCGTCAGCATCGCCGCCACCGCGCGTCTTGCAGTGTTTCACAACGAGCGGGACGCTAGCACGCGGAGACGCCAAGACGGACGCGTCTGCCCCTGTTGCGGCGTCAGGGGTGGAACTCATGAAATGTACTTGGGAGCAGCCACGGGAGCAGCTGAAACAGCTGTTTTGGAGCAGGTTGGGAGCAGCTAAAACGATATTCTGGAGCAGGCTAGGAGCAGCTCAGATCAGTTTTCATTGCACTTCAGCTTGTGTTTTAGACAAGCACGAGAGCAATTTCAGTTGTGCTTAGCAGCACAAAAGAACAACACAGATGGTGGTTAGGGACCTATGTAGGTGGGATAAAAGTGTAACAGATGCGAAAACTTGAAACTTTGTGAGCCTTAATGAGAACCAAAAAGCAAGTACCATATGTTTCTGCAGATAGTGTCCTTGATATTTTCTCAGTGGCTTTCAACTGCTCAAAATGCAAACCAGCACTGCTTATGGCACAACTCACACCTGTTCGAGATGGTAATTATATGTGCGAACCACGTGACGTGCGTGAGAAACGGACGTGCAGTTGCGCGGAGGAACAGGGCAACAAATTCCGAGTTTATACTATTGTATAACTCAATATTGAAGCAGCAGACTACGATTAACGGAGTTATCGTGTTCTTAGCGATAAGCAGGAGCAAGGTTTTAAGCAAGATCTATCGCTCGCGTGAGAGCTGCTGGCCGACAAGGTTTCGGATCGGACTGCGTTTCAGTTCTATTAAATCACGATTTATCTTGCAGGAATGCGGTTCCAACTTCTAACGAAGAAGTACTAAAAGGAATCGTTTGCTAATGTGTTTTCAACTGGCTGACTTCCGGAACCCGGGCCGCAGAGCCTCAGGTAATCTGACGCTTAACGGCTCTACCTCTTCTCGGCCGACTTGCTTAGCCGCTTATGGTTGAAGAACAGCAATCCAGTCGCAGGTGGTGTAGCACTTGGAATTGGAACCCCGAGTTTTTTGCGCGCTTCCGACTCGGGAATTGGGATACAAAGGAAGAATAAACAGAACAAAGGATTGCAAGGCCGACCAAGCTAAACGCGCTCATTGTTGCCAGTCGAGTCGATAAAAACCGAAACCAAGACAAAATGAAAAAAAAAAAAAAATTGGGCGCACGTTCAGCGATTTGGAGCACAATGGCGCGATGTATTGGCTGTGGCGCAGTTTCCGCAAAATGGCGCAGGATGGCGCAGACAAATGCGTCTGGCGCAAAATGGCGCAAATGGCGCAGCCGTTCCACCCCTGGGCGTACTCTCGTCGACCTGCTTCAGCGTGCTTGCCGCTTGGGGCGGGTTGGTGGATACGCTAAAGATGACGCCATGCGCAGGCCCTATAAGGCATTGTCCCAACCCGCAGATACCGGAGTTTCCCCGAGTTTCAGCCGAGCACCCAGCGACAGAGCGAGCTATAGTATAGAACAGCGATGCCTGCCGTCCCCAGTTGTAACTTAAACACACGAAAACAAAAACGGCGATATGTAAAGTAACGAGACGAAAGACACAGAAATCGGAGCCAGGTTTCAGGCAGGGGACAAAAAGAAAACAGAAGCCAACACCTCGATGGCAATATAGAGAGCACCACTTCGTACACCAATAGAGCTGTCCGCTCTTAGGGTCCTTCGTGGATGTATATATATAAACTTAGCGAACAGTCGTCGCCTCCTGCGCGAACAGCGCCAGGGTTGCAGAACGGGGCCGCGTTTTTCGTTGAGGTTGTAACTCGCGCTTCGTTTCGGGGTCGGCTCTGCTAAAAGAGGACGCCCCGCGCGCACGCACAGCTCGCCGACTGTCGATTCCGGAACGAGGCCCGGCCAAAGGAAGAGCGCGGACGAGGGGCGAAAACCGCCACTCGAACGGCGCCCGAGGATCGAGCGGCCGCTCGGTTCAGAAATAAGCGCAAGGTTTCCAGGTTAGCGGAGCACCCAAGCGATGAGTTTCGTTGCTTGCGATGAGAGGCCAGCCTTCCGGCTTCGCAAGGGTGGAAAGCGCCAGTGCTATGCATGGCAGGAGCGCAGAGTATGACGAAGGTCGCGGGTCCGCGCTTACTTTAAGAAAGAGCGTCGCGCGTTCAGACGTAGGAAGTGGCACTTGACTCGGTGTCTCAGTGCAGGACGTGTTGTGCCTCAAGCATTCCTTAGGGCCGATGTGATACCTTAGATGCGATACCCTAGAAGAAAACCCTCGACTAAAGCCTTTTTTTTTTAATTTTAGAACAGGTGTCGTCGCGAGGCTGTTCGAGGACTACAAATTCTGACACCGACACATACACACGTTGACATCGACACCGACACATACACACACACCGGCGCCGACACACACAAGCATATACATACAAACCCCCCCCACACACACACACAGGCAAAGACAGGGCCACGCACACACACGTACGCACGCGCACACACGCGCGCGCGCAGACACACACGCACACACACACCAACGCGATCTGCACCGCTACTTTTTATGTTTCCGGACCAAATCATAAATAAAAGGTAACCTCCTCCTGGGCATTCGACATTTAAATAAATTGGGTCAAATGTCTTCCACGGCTAGGCTCATGCGAAATGTATGGGACAGCCTCAGTGCTAGCCGATCACGCGTAAAATCGAGTGACCGGCTATTTTGACGAAGAAGAAATGAACGTTGAGGTGCGCCACCTTGTCTAAGAAAAAAAAAAAAAAATAGGCTGAAAAAGTTCAGTCTGTTAACGCAGCGTATCTGGACAGAAGGTAACACAAAAACTACTGCCGCCACGTCGAATCACTCCGTACAGGCCTAAGGCCTGTATCAGTCAGGGCAACTTTCCCAGCAATTCTATTAAGACGAAAGCCTTATATGTCTCGTCGTTCAGTCGACCTTCAGAAAACACGTCCGCGACACGAAAGGTACCAAAACGAAAGGTACCAATGAAAAGTTACCAAAAGTGCGTCGTCAGAGAGCGCGCTGTCTTCGAAGGTTCGCTGTCACGTTTACGTTACCACTCAGGCGAATTAGAGGCAATGAAATTAAGAAGGATGACAAAGCGAATTAAGAGAAATCAAACTGAATTCAGTAAATCATGTGTCTGTCTTTAAGGCATCGGCGCTTGGGCTTTCACCTCCAAGTCGTCTTAGGGATAACAAGACTGAATTTTTTGTTGCTAGCGAGTTGTTCAGCAGCATAGTTGCTGGGAGAAATTGCCCCGCCTCGAGCGAGTCTTAATGTTTGACTGCCGTGACGTGACGTGAGTTGACGTAATCACTACCGCGTGAAACACGTTATATACCCGGGTTTACAGTCACAAACAAGGTGAGGACGGTATGGAGAAGCTTCGGGTGTCACTCCTCCAGCGCGAGCATAGGCTATTATCCTCGCTTCGGCTTCCTGCGGTCCTCGAGCGCAGACGCGCAGCTAAAGCATGCCGGAAGGCAGGGAGCGCGTGCAGGAGGCCCGGCGTTCCAAAGACACCCCGAGACGTTATCATTCTGTCACTGACTGTAGTAATCGCGCCCGCACTCATCGGACCGCTTCTATAAAAGGGTAGACTAAGCCAGTGCTGTATACAAACGCTCGCCCGGCGAACTCGTTGAATTTACACGAAAATACTAAGGCCACAAGCGTGCCGATTAATTATAATCGTGCAAAAAAGAAATCCGAGACTGAATAACGCGCAGGAGAGACCCAATCGGCATGATATCCCTTTGCACGTCTGTGGTACTTGAGATGTGATATGTAACCTGGAGCTTTTCGTGGACGAAGCGGTTCGGGTGGACCCCGGGCACTCACCGGGTTCGAGCCTCGTGGACTGCGTGATGAGCCCCGCCACGATGCCGTTCGGGTGTCCCGTCGTGACGAGGGCGATGTGCAGCCGCTCCTTCTGCAGCAGTCGCCGGTACACCTTGGGCACCTTGGTCCACACGGCACACACCTGGAACCGCCGAGCCAGGTATTTTAACGCATGGGGTTTTCGGGCTGGCTTCCGTGACGTGAGCGGAAGGTTACGAGAGAGCGTCAGGAGAAAGTGTCATACAGCCGCTAGCGGAGTTACCTACCGCCCCTTAATTACCTTTAATTACTAACGACAATTCGTCAAATCTTTCAGGGAACCTGAACCGGCTTTGAATTTGATGAAAACGCATGATTCCAACTTCCAGCATCACGAATATCACTAAACAAGAATAGGCTATTTCCTTCCCGTATTACCTAAAAAGACGCCTTTGAAGTTCCGTTCAAACCACGCCACGCCAGGCCTCCCCCCCTCCCTCCCCCCCTTTTCCCCCCGCAGTAGCGGGGAAAAAAAGTAAAAAAAAAAAAATAAAAAAAAATTTGGCTGCGATCTTTACCATTTATGTTTTATAATACATGAATTGCATTATAGGGAACTGGTGAGGGAATTGGTGAGGAAATCGCTGCGTCGCGTCACATATATTTTCCCCCTAAATTGGCGGGGAAACTGAATGGTTGTATAGGTCAAGTCATGTCATGTCGAGGGACGTCGATTTCCCTCGCTGAATTTAGATGCGAAAACTGGATTGGTGTCTAGGTCACAAAACGGGAATTTTTCTATTAAATTTAGCGGGTAACTGAATTTGTGCATAGGTCACGTGACGTCGATTTCTCGCTAAATTTGGCGGGGAAACTGAATTGACGTTTTGGCCACAATACATTACTTTTCCCGCTAAATTTAGCGGGGAAACGGAGTTGACGAATAGGTCACGTACCGTGAATTTCCCCAAAGTGTATATAGGTGACGTGACGTCGGGTGACATCACGTGACGCCACTTTTCCGTCGGAAAAATTTCCCCGCTAAATTTAGCGGAAAAAATTCTCTGGGGGATCACGTGACCCCCGAGATCACGTGACACCCCAGGTCGCGTGACCCCCGAGGTCACGTGACACCTCCAGGTCACGTGACCCCCACGTAATTTTGGGGAGGGGGTCACGTGACCCCACCAAGGTCACGTGACCTAAGGGGGGGTCACGTGACCTTTGTGGCATTGGCTCCTCCTCCTCAAGAGCTGCGCTCTAATTCGGCGTTACAGGGAGTTGTAAACGGCTTTCATTTTTTGCGCTACATTTAGCGGGGAACTGAACTGGTCTGTAGGTCCCGCGACCTCAGGTCACGCGACACTAATTTGTCTTCTAAATTTAGCTTAGAGACTGAATTAGTATATAGGTCTCGTGAAATCAATTCCCCCGCTAAATTTAGCGGGAAATGCACGGACGGACAGACGTACGGACGGACAAATATTTGGGATTGGGGAGCAGCGTTAAACAGCATTTTAAGCTTTAGAACATGGTGTGGCAAAAGGACCCCTCGCGCGTGTGCTCCTCGGCTTGCAGAGCCAGCGTCGTCGATACTTGCTGCGACTGCTTGTAGCTGAGCTAGTTTGCGATTCATGCTTCTGAAAGACGCCAGGTGAACGTAGGAAGGCACACCAAGATATAGATAGAGAGAAAGCGCAAACACGCTGCTGGACTAGCAACAATTTACTGAAGATAAACCTCTTCTTCCAGGTCCATTATTTTCTTGTCTCGGAACTAATGGGCCCGGAAGAAGAAGATTTTCATATTCAGTAAATGGTTGCTAGTCTAGCAGTGTGTTTGTTCCGAGCACCTTTTTACATAGGAGACAGGCACCTCGGGGAATTTGGGGAGCTTACGCGAAGCGGAGACGAAACGAGGTAAGGATTGTCAGTTCATATCGTTCCCCGAAAGATACACCTTTTATGGCGCCACATGCTTAGTGTCGTTTTGAGGACAAATGATGGTGATATCTAGATTCTCCAAAAAAAAACTACACAAAAAAATCATTAAATTTTTGTTTTTTTTATTGTTGCCCTTTTAGTTTCTTTTTAAGAAGAGAAATAGGTTCACGCCCTTTCCCCAACGTGCTTCTCTGCCTCTCAGCGATTATGGAAAGACACATGTCTTTCCATAATCGCTGACAGGATGAAAAGAACAGGGAGGAATTTCAGCTGTCCCGCTTGCAGCACGAGCTTCCTGCCTTCGATGACGCTTCAACGTCTGGTGAGACTCGAGCATGCACGCGTAGCCAAAGCACGGCGGAAGGCAAAGAGCGAGTGCTGAAGGCCTGGTCTTCGAAAGACACGCCAGGCTGTTGTCATCTTGTCATTGACTATAGTCGGACAAGTCGGCTCAACGAAATCAGAACAACAACAAAAAAGAGATATTTTGGAATATTGAGGGTTTTATTCCACAGCGCATAGCGAACGTACTTCGCGGTTTCCAGAGCTCCAGGTTATGTGCCATACACAATTGACAACTCAAGCTCATTGAAAATAGAAACACACACACAAAAAAAGCCGTCAATTTAAAAATATACCTGGTATTAGATTCCTTCGCTTACGATCCGTGAATTTAATCAATCGTAGCGCGTCCCGACAGGAGAGAACCTTCTATCGCTTAACATAATTGAAGCAGTACGGCTTGGAACACGTGCCAGGGATCATTGTACCCGGGACGGCCGATGGGACGATCCTGGCAGCAACGAACGGACTCACCTATAGGGAGCTATCTCAGCGCTCGCGCGATCCGATAAAGCGTGTCAACGCTTAGCTAGCAAACGCAAGCATAAAACAAGCAAACTCCGCACGTAAAGAGAGAAAGAGAAAGAGTTATATATCATACGCATTGTTTGTATCATTAAAAACAAACACAAAAAAATAAACTGGAAGCGTTCAAATATCGAGAGTTCGCCGACCCCGTCCTACACACGGGGCATAAGTACCTTCACAGGGCCAAAGCCCCGATGCCTGGGTCGATTTCCGCGGCAAGAATTGCAGAAGAATATAGGCTGCGTCCGGGCTGCTTCGCTCTGTTTTCTCATGGGAGCGTAATTCTTACCCGGCGCCCATTTTGGCACACGCCGGTTGTATAAGTCCGATCTCAAGCAAAATAAAGAGAGAGAGAAAAAGAAAATAAATACAAATAAAGAATCCTACAAAAAAAAAAAAAAACTCAACGTGATTGGGAGGGAAAGTGCCGACTTTCACTCGATTAAATTCACGCACGTGGCTGTAAACGCGCAGTGCCAGCAATAAGACGGACAACCCCTGCCTATTGAATTTCGACTGTAGAACGGAAATCGCGGAAAAGCGAACGAGCGATTTTGTTTACCATGCCCTTCGTACGGTTTACATGCGAAACACTAAAGGGTACTTACGTCGTGATGAGTGAAGACTTCATGAATATACCTGGATTCATCACATTTACGCATTAACAAGGATTATGTGTACGGTCATTCGTTTTCAGTTAAAACCCGATAATTACACCGCGCAAATGTTTCTTAAAAACGAATTGAACGCGATTTTTTTTTTTTTTTTTCGAATTCCAAAATTTAATTTTTCTATTTCAAAATTACTTTGCTTCGTAAATAATGCATATAGGAGGCAAAGGGTCGGTAGGAACACATGGCCTAGCTCCAGACGTTGGAGACGAACCTAGATTCTGTTGGCATCAGTGAACTGCAGTGCATACCATAGATCGAGCCCCAAAATGTCGCTTTCATGTCTATTCAGAAGTATCCTTTGCCCTCTGTTTCTTTAAGCGCTAAAATGCATTTCATGCTTTAGAAACAAGTCTCGCGCCTTATTCATCAGCTGGGCGAAGTAGTTCTTGCGAGATTTAGTTGTCGAAGGGAGAAACGATACTTTGGGCGTTTAAAGCGTGAACGTCTTGATAAAACACCATAAAGCGAATCTAAGATGCACCGTCATATGTCTAGTTCATCGCATCAAGGGGGAACTTAGTAACGTTCGGCGGTGAGCTGAACCTTTTTTACCGGCGCTTCTTGGGGTAAATACCAGTGTAGGTGTTGAGAGAAGCACGCTTGCGCATACGGTGGAGAAGGTGTGCAGGAGGCGAGGGGGAAGCGAACAGAAGAGCACGCGTGCTTCGAAGGAAACGGAGAGACGCGAAATAACAAGGGTCAAAGCTAGGGTTTCGCGACCGCGAGAGACGCGAACTTCGCGTTACGCTCCAGCCCGACAGCTATAGTTGGCAGGGCTTTCTTTTGTACACGCTACGCACGACGACGTTTGCGACGTCCAGGCATAAATAGCCCATATACCAAGTTCTTCGTTGCGATGTCACCGTGAAGCAACGCAACACGTTCCGTGTTAATTACCACTGCACTTTTCCACGACACTGCAAGAGTGGGACGAATTTTTTCGTACACATTCATAAAGATAATGTATGTACACGGGAGATGCAAGACGGAGTCACAAACTGCACGTTGTTGTTGTTGTTAAATGTTGTTACACACGGGAAGAGGGGATGCCTGCACGTGATGTTAGTCTCTTTGGGCAGGGGCAAGACTCGCACAGGCGGGGAAAGAGGGTGAGAAAAAAAAGAGAAGAGGGGTTGGAGGTGATTTGGTCACCAATCTCTGGATGAGTAGGGTTGAATGAGGAGACTGCACGAAACTCCAAAACGACTCCAAACCGCGTCCTCAATGTGCGGCCCTTCTTCTGCTCACCTGAGTGCTGTTGTCCGTGGACAGAGTGTTCTTGTTGGCCACTTCGTGCTCCTGCACGATGTAACCCTCATCGTTGGTGATGATGATACTGATCACAGGCGTCGGGCTGTAAAAAAGAAAAAAAAAAAGAAAAATATCTTTAGATATAGAATTACGCGGGCAAAAACTTTAAACGAGATATTTGACAACTAGAGCTCGCAAGCGTTTTCTCAAGAAACACGAACCTTTTCCACTAGGAGACTCCCGGCCACGTTAATAACAGTGACTCCGTTTCACCTTAGCTTGGACCGCAGCAGATGCTGCGAGCTATCCCAGCTAATCTAGCGCTATACACGTAGCACGTACCTACACGCCCCTCTCGCAGGTCATGTGACACTGGCACGGCATTTGATTGGCCTTGAAAGCTCGTAGCGTTCTCCGCGGTCCATCGTAAGGTAAACGGAGTAAAGACTTGAGTAAGTTGGTAACTGGCCTCGCTTCTTCGCATGGCTGCTTGGAGAATGTTTCCCGGGCTTTCGCTAGGTCCTATAGCGTACCTTCATCTGTAGCGATGTGAAATATTTTTTACCCGTCATCATGCCTCGAGTGGTGCGCCTTCTTGTGCTAGTTTATTCGTTTCAAGAGTAAAACACGTTGGCCACGCCAGCTTAAAATATACATGCCGGAAGACATAAATCGGCGGTTTACAACATGCGACGTAGCATGATAATATACCGGGTGTTCGGGAAAATGCTTTCTGTGAAAACTACAAATCGTAGGGGAGAACGAAAACGATTTGACCCGTATAAGTCACCGCCGAGGACTCAATGTAGCGAGGTCCACTGCGCAACAGTGTTAGCGCGAACAAGATATCGGTGCCTCTTAGCATTTTACTCGCAAAGACGATTACCGCTTGGGTACGTATGAGCACTCTCCGCAACGCAAGCGGGCTTGACGAACATATTTCGACTTTCAAGAGAAAAATACGAAAAACCGGAGGTCGCTAGCAGTGTCGCGCTGTGTAGTACATAGTGATTTCGCAAAGCTAACTCCTTAATTAGTTTTGCAGAATCAAATTTTAGGTTAGTAAAAATAAATAGATTGTTTCAGTAAGAAACTTGCTGAACGTAAAAAAAATGACTAAATCAGTAAATAAAAAAAAAATAAAAAAACTTGCGGCACTTGGGAAGCGCGGTGCTGCGGAAGTTACGGCCTGTGCTACAGGCTGAAGAGAGGGGGAACGAAAAATGTATATAAATAAATAAAAAAACCGCGAGTTGCGTCGAAGTTGGATGAGTTTTTGGGACCCAGAAAAACGAAGCACGCAATCGAGATATGTCTAAAGTTGACAGATCAAGTGGGTTTCGGCGATGCTCATCCGGTTTCTAATTGAAAAAAAAAAAAATTGCTTATTTCTATTAATCCGTAAATTCGGCTTGATATTCCGGTGTGCCTGAAAGAACATATTCGGTCAGGCTTCGCGTCGAGTAGAGGCAAAAGTACTGGCTTCCGCTTTCTGTACTGACCTTACTTCATTCAAGTTATTCCAAAATTCAAAACAAGCGATATTAAACACCGCAGTACTTTTCATTTTTCTTTTTTGTCACTTTTTAAGTATGATACATTCTTTTCGAGTCTTTATACCTCAATTTAAGGATACCACGTGCGGCCTCGAGAACAGCGCAGGCGCACGGCTAATTTATCGATTCACAAAACCATTTCTGTCATTTTGTCAGAATTTTAATTGATTGGTACCGTATAAGAAAGAAACATAAGGAAGCACAGCGCGCAAGACCTATATTTTACTGTAATATAAAGGAAGGTATAGGATTTGTGATAAGAAGAATCTGCCGCGAAGTGTCGTTCAATCTCCGAACAAAAGCGAGGGGAAACCAAAAGAGAGAACAAAACAACCGCCACATCTCGTCAGAAAGCAATTAGCGAACAATTAGCTGTATCCCCCAAAAAATCTCGACTCCATCTCGCAGGAAAAAAAAAAAAAAAAAGACAAAAGTTAACTCAATCAATTCCTTTTGATCAGTCTTCCTCAGCTCAAAATAAAAACAAACGAACAAACAAAAAGATTCCACCGACGAAAACTCCTCGAATCCGCTGCCGCCCGCAAAGAACGCTTAAAAAACAAACAAAAAAACTTAAAGGTAAACACATTTTGAAACCAATAGGTCTATATGCTACAGGCTATCCTCCAGTAACTTGTTACGCGAACAAAATTCAATTTGGCAAGATTCGATGAACGGAAGGAAAGAAGCAAACCAACAGCAAGGCGACAAGAAGCGCGCTGTCGACGACACGCGTCTCCCTCCAACCGGAGGGCTTCCCGAGCCCCTCGCTTATTAGATTTGCGGCCTGACCCGTTTAAAAGACACGCCCGATAGGCGCTCTCGTGGCTACAAACAACACGCGGTGGCTGAACACCCAAAGAACGTACAAACACGACGAAAGGGATCAAGGAAAGGGAAGGCGGGCGGTTGGAGGGGTCCCGCGTTACAGAGTAACGCTAGAGGAAAGGTCTATAGCGTATATCGATTCTTTCTCCCGCCTCGTGCATTCGTTCCATCGATCGTTAGAGGTGGCGACACGGTGGGGGACCTTAACGAACTGCCCAGTTAACGACGTTATAGGAGCCGAGCGGCAGTCCGCGCCCAAACCGGGAACAAGCAGGCTCTGTAGGCTCCGCAAACTCCCTCTGTCGGCCCCGCTGTGATTCTCAATCGGATTTTTGGCGGGAGAGGCGTGGTTGAGACCTCGACTGTTCCCTACACGTGCCTGCCTTCCCGCTGTTTCATTCGAAGAGCTGCGCCTTTGTTTCTGATTTGATTCTTTCATCGGGAACCGCCGTTAAGGCGAAGGGTACCCCGAGTATCTCATTGCGATTGGATGGTGGCTGAGAAGGCTTAAGCCGCAGTCGGTATACTGTTTCCACATCATAGCGAAAAACACGGTGATCGCAGCCGACATGATGACAGGAGTGTGTGTGTGCATATATATTATATATATATGCGGACAGGCCTCGAGCACGATTGCTCGATACATAGGTATGTTTCGAATACGTCTGCGCGCATCCGCACTGGCGGCGTCTTCAGTGTAGAGAGCGCAGCGGAAGGGCAAGGAAAACGGTCTACATGAACTTCCCAGCAAAATTACAGTCGGTGAAGTATACAATAACAACGCGAAATATAAGCGCCGACCCAGAAGGCTTCAAAGCATGCATGTATACGCACGCGCACGCCAGTACGAACACGCAGTCGACAGTTGAGACGCACGATAACGTTCGTGACGTCGTATATATACCGGGAAATTAGCCTTTCATAAAGGGGCGATGCAACGATTTTTGTATTTTGCGCAAATACCGCTTAGAACGGATCCCTGGCGTTAATGACCTGTGAAATACCCGTTCGTATTTCACTACACGCAATCGAAGTTGGAGAAAAAAAATAAAGAAAAACGAGGAGAGTTCACCCCCAACAACTCGCAGCGAGAACAAGCGGCCACGTGATCTGGAGCCGATTATATGCCTCCAATGTTGATCATAGCCACGCGCTGGGGTTGGCAAGGCACAGGACACGCGCTGAGTTCCAGACATTGTTATGGTTCGGCTGTTGTCGTCATTGCAGCGATTGGACACAGGACACTACCCGAATGCTTCTCGAGCAATCGGTTATCACGAGCCCAAATCGAGTGTCCACGCCATGCTCGGGTCCAATCTATGAGCCGCATTCAAATATCGTCACTGGGCGGTACTTCTACCGCCCAGTTACGTCATCAGGTTTTGCGAAGGAGAGATTGAATGAAAACACTCGGTTTTGTCCTCTAAATTACAGCGCAACAAAGGAGTTTCTTGGTCAGTGGCGTTGCGTGCGAGTATCCTTGAGTCCCACTTGTGCCAGTAAGCTCGTGTAAAGTGAAAAACATTCGAATTGAATATCATTGCACCTACCCTTTGAGTCTAGCAAGCGTAACGACGTCGAACGGAGGCAAAAATATACACCTGGTCCGGCCGCCAAAGAGGGCCCCATAGGTGAACCTTTGAATCGAACCAAAAACGCAAAGCGAAACCCAAACGCGACATTATTACCCATACGGTTTGCTTCCTACTTATATTTTACGACCGCCGAATAGTAAGCAGGTTTCGTGCTTATGGTCAGACCGAGAAACTGGACCGAAGCGGACCACGTCGGTCATCTTTAAGCGGACACCTTCCGGTAGCATGTACACGTTGAAGAAGGTGATTTTCGTAGATTCCTCGCAAATATTTCGTGCGCTTCTGCCTTCAAAATTTCAAGCAGTGCCATCTGCGTTATCCAAATGCAATAACACGCCGCTAACCTTTTTTTTTATTATTTGTTTAGATTTACTATTGTGCGTGCACCTGCATTTGGAAGAGGCTTTCGTTTAGACCAAAAACCATGAAACAAGCATACATCTTTCAAATGCAAGTTTAACGTCCACAAACAATATAAAACACATGGCAGACGTATTTTATAAGGTGTACATTTTGTTTACCGCGATTAAATAGTGTCAAGAATCGAGAAGCACTTAAGTAGGGGCAATTTAGTGTTCCAAAAAAATAAATAAAAATAGAAATTCTCCCAAGACGCGGCCATTGCGCCGCGTATACTTTGCCTCCGCCGCAGCCGTGCACACCAGGTATATCTGCCCACACGCCTCACGCATGTTCCAAACATGTTTGCTGGATGGATGGGTGGATGGATGGTAATGGCAACACCCTTTGTAATGGGCGGCAGCTTGCGCCACCTAGCGTAAGTTAATTAACTTTCGTACATGTTTAACACGGTAATTATATGCCCAATGTGACAGGACCTCTGTCGTAAGGAAATGCGCCTCAGATGGTACCTGCAGACTATCTTTTGTACGATGTATTAGCAGTGACCGCGGCAATTAATACTGCGTCCACAGCGAGTTTAACTTTCGGTGTCTACGGGAACGACACGTACAGAAACTGACTGAGCTGACTGCCAGCTTGACCAGTTGGTCAGTCGGCCGGTTGGTTGCTTGGTAGGACTGGCCCGACCAAGACCGCTTGGAAGCCGTTTGAACGCGAGAGAAGTCTCCGCGACGCGTGGCTGTTTCCTAATGGTTTTCGAT